ATTAGTTTGAAATCGATCCAGATTGAATATGACCGTTGCACGCTCAAATGTCACAAAAGGTGATATGTGCACCACAAGAGTTCTTTCCATGAGTCCCATAACGAATTCAGGCCCATTAAATATTAAACACCTTATTTCACCTTATTAGAGAATAGATCCTGTAGGGTGGATCTAAGGTTGGATGATCACCCTTTCCTTCCGTTCACAAATAGGGAGAAAGATGCAATAATATTCGTTGTTGACTTTGTTGATTATACAAATTTTACGAAAGCAAATGTGAACTGCAAATCCCATAATCTATATTATGTGTAAGCATAGATGTGGGCTTGAGACTGGAGGCATGCTTTGTTGAATGCCACTGCTTCCACAATATCCTTTTCCTCACGGATTTCGAATGTGTCATTTGTTCGGATTTCCGTACCACGATCAACTGATCTAATATACTGTTTTGGTAACCCTGCGGTAACGTCCCGTTCTTGTGATTCGTATGTCCAGTTGATTCGTGTTTTACTGGCAGCTTGTAACACTTCTGTTTCGTTTTATTTGGCTTATTGATTATCGCTTCGGCAGATCCATGAAACCGTTATTTCACACCCGCTCAACTGGATAGTAACAGCCCATGTTTTGTTTCCATTTTCCCAGGTGTCCGATACGGTTGTGGAACCATACAATGCCACTTTGTCAGTGCACCAGTTGGTAGAGAACACCGATGAGACATTCTGCATTGATAACGAAGCGCTTTATGACATATGTTTCCGCACACTGAAGTTGTCCAATCCGACCTACGGTGACCTGAACCATCTGGTCAGTGCAACCATGTCTGGTGTGACCACCTGTCTTCGTTTCCCCGGCCAACTGAATGCGGATTTACGCAAACTGGCGGTGAATATGGTTCCATTCCCTCGGTTGCACTTCTTCATGCCTGGCTTCGCTCCTCTCACAAGCCGAGGAAGTCAACAATATCGAGCTCTGTCTGTCCCCGAGTTGACTCAACAAATGTTTGATGCCAAGAACATGATGGCCGCTTGTGATCCTCGCCACGGTCGTTATTTGACTGTGGCTGCCATCTTCCGCGGTCGAATGTCCATGAAGGAGGTTGACGAGCAGATGCTGAATGTGCAAAACAAGAACTCGAGCTACTTCGTGGAATGGATCCCGAACAATGTGAAGACAGCTGTGTGTGACATTCCGCCACGCGGTCTGAAAATGTCTGCCACGTTTATCGGAAACACGACCGCGATCCAGGAACTGTTCAAACGCATTTCGGAACAGTTCACGGCCATGTTCCGTCGCAAGGCTTTCCTTCATTGGTATACTGGTGAAGGTATGGACGAGATGGAATTCACAGAAGCCGAATCGAATATGAACGATCTGGTCAGCGAGTACCAGCAATATCAGGAAGCCACCGCAGAAGATGGTGACTTTGAGGGTGAGGAGGAAGAAGCGTAATCTATTAAAAGTGATTTATCTTATTCATAAAAATTCCATGTTTTATTTATCGTTGTCTTGTGCATTGGGTTGTTTCTTTTGTTCTATGCTTTCGAATCGCGCTGTCAGCCAGACAAACGAGTATACGCTCCAAGCACCGCGCGCGCATTGTGTAATACAGCAGCATCACGCATTCTTATTGCTCTTTTTCCTTGTGTGCTCGTTTTCGGTCTGTGGATTCGATCGCGATGAAAGCAATACAACAGTTCTGCGCAACTTGTCATTCTCGCCGTTAAACGTGCCCGCTCTGACGTATCTAACTTTCAGTTGGGGGCGCAGGCGAGAAATAACTGAACTTGCAGGTTGTATTCATTTATTTTCCCATACGAGACCTGATTCATAGTTAATGCATATACCTTGAGTTGACGGCAAATCGGGGGATTTCGAGCGAAATTATTCGAATTAATGTGGCATCTATATAACGATATTTCTTCAGCTTTTCCCTGTTGGGTTACCCTTTTTCTCAATCGATGCATTGTAGGGCGCATTCGTGGGAGTAAAGTTGTCGAACTATGTGAGTCATGTTCCACTTGGTGCGCTGGGGAAGATCGAGTAAGGCGGAAAGCACCTTCAGCCACGTAGGTTGGTAGTAAGTAGACAACTGAACAATTTTTTAATACAGCCAAAAGTACTGACAGAAGGATGACCTAGCCATGGGATCACCACTTGGTTCATTCTAAGCAGATGTATTTTCATCCAAGCTCGAAGAAGGAACAGTCGACAGTCTGAACCTAGTACTTCGCATTCGACTCACAATTACTTGTGAGTAGTGGTGTGGGATAATTGATTTTTATTGATCTGAGCTGACCATCCTTCGAACTTCACCTTCACACACAATCTTCAACTCATCGATTCAACCGTACACTCGGAAGCACTAGACTCGAGTTTCGCTCTTGTTGGAGCTCATCAGTAGTGCATATCCACCGTCTCGTCAGGGANGGATTTGAACTCCGGACCCATCGCATGAAAGGCGTGTATTACCACTGTGCCAACCAGCTCATACCATGGCTGCAGTTTCAGTTTGCGCAACCATTAACCATGCACTATCGTGCACCGGTTTTGATTGCTATCTTTCGGTTACCCATTTGGATGAACATTAGGGGAAAGACTGGAGAGGGAAGATTGAAAAGTTTAGTGGATTATTGAGGAGATGCGCGAACGCCAGTATTTACGACACCCGGCCATATCATTCAGTGTCTAACCATCGGGTACGATCATTCCGAGGTCCCCATGCAGGGAGCCTAACGGGACCTGTGTGACCTAGTCTCCTGGTTGGTGTTCATACCGTCATGCCAGATCTTTCCATGGCTGCACCAGATAACCAATTCATGTTCAGGTGTCGTCTTCAGTGATAATCATTTCATTTTCCCCTAGAGCAACGAAAGGAAACACAGCTGATATACTGTTTATTCCAATCGAAAGCCTCTCACCAAGTCAGGTACGGACTGATTCGCCAACGAACCTATACGACTGGATTCGACTCACAATTACTTGTGAGTAGTGGTGGACCTATTACACCAGCTATATGGGTGATGCGTTCATCATTGTCGATTCCATAGTGGACGTTACTAAACTCCTGCAAAGATCCAACAATACTTATCAAGGTATACAAATGCACGAGATAAGTGACTCATTTGTGGAATGTATTAAATAGAAACATGGCGTGATAAACGGTGATTAGGCACAAATTCAGTAGGGGTCTGCCAAGTTTTACTATGTGGATTCCGGAAAATCTCGTGACTTACTGAAACGGAACAAAAGTATTATCGGCATGAGCGTTGTCTTGTTGACAAACTATCCAAGGGGACGTGTACATGACTGCATTGCTTGCAACCCCTCCCGCTGGAAATCACCCGTGAAACCTATCTTTGATTTTTCGGGTAATCGGTGCTCGTTACAAGCTATGTCCGTTGAAAATGAACAAGGATATCCAACGGACAATAGGCAAAGGACGAGAATGAATGTCAACACGGGGTTTAACATCTTCATGTTTCCCTCGGTGTACTGTGGTGCGTCTCGTCCACAAGCAATGCAAATGAGTAATTTATTGGGTAACTGGAAAGAGTAGCACCTTAGATTGGATGAATTATGAGATTTTTGAAACTTCAATATAACATTCAACTCACATGTGGCTGCGAGAAACCTTGTTGCAGTGGACAACACCAGTTTTTGGGTAAACTGCTCAACAGGTTGGAAGTAATTGAGATTCTTGAAAGTGTTTCAGGGAGATAGTATTATTAGTTATACAAAGCTTAAAGCAATAAAATCTTATGGTACTGAAGACATCGAATCTCGTTCCTCTGTTGGACATCTGGGAGACTTAAAACATGGGCGAACAAAATGGAGTCGGAAGTGGAACCCCTAGGCCTAAACTCTGGTTAGAGAATCCGGTTACATGAACCTAGTCGAATTACCATCGGCGCTAGCCCCACCGCTAACTACTGCAGCTGATACATCCGGCTCCTCCGCTGAACAGCTCTGGAAAAATGAAGAAAAGTAATCATGTACTGTTTGTTCCTACTATATGATATTTTATTATTGCTAGCATGAAAATCGAATGTGTTATGTGAGGTCATTGGTCAGACGAACAGTACCGAGTGAATTAGTTTCGGTTCGTGCATTTGTAGGGTTTTAAGGGCTATGCACTTATAGATTGAGTAATATGAAATAAGTGGTCTATGGGAATCAAAAGAAAGAGTTAGGTTCATGGGAAACGAACTTGTTGAATCGAACAGAACTCTGAAGTTTGCTCACGGTTCTAACAAACAAGAAAAACAGATTCGAAATCGGTTCCATTGCCCAGCTGGATTGGCAATTGATTGAACCAAATATTGGTCTCCTGCTTTTATCGGTTGTTGGTTCAACACAGACATTGTATCGAATCAAAGGAGTAGATGCAGTCTCATCGGAAATTCGCTAACTGTATCATTGCACATTACGATTGGCAAATCGATAACGGATGATCAGGTGAACCCAAGAATAGCGGAGCCATCTTCATGACAAGATACACAACAGAGAAAAGATAAATGCGAGTTGTTGGCATTTTTAGTCTCCTCATTCACTACAACGTAAAGGAATGTCATACCTATGCAAGAATGTTGTGAGAACTACGGTAGTTGAATGGGCAAGAAAGGAGGATGGGGGTGGGATAAATCAGTTCCGATGACTTCCATCTTCCAAAGCAAGATATTGGAACCTATAATGCCTCGGTAAATCCAATAGCCCATGAAATCACGTGTCACCAACCCGTCAACCGGAAAACCGATAACTAAACCAGCACCCGAAAATAATGCACAAATATGCCCGGATGGGGGAAATAATATAGTTTTAGTACATGACAAACATGATGTACAGAGATAAAATAAGCACCGTAATTATAAAAATAGTATGCGTAGAAAATGGGGGAACACGCAATCAAAATACAACGGACTGATTATAAAATAGAATACAGAAAGATTATGAGGAGTGAAGACAGAGAAAAGAGTTCCACAATTCCCCAGTTCTCAGTAGGACGAGAAACCGGACGCCACTGTTCGAACGGTTATTACAGTCACCTGGTAAGCACTACTGGACACTTATTACTGGGTTTATGAGCAAATGAAAGTGGTGGTTGAACGGAATCGGCAAGCTCTGCAGAGGAAAATCCGCGGTACCGCGAACCACTTGCACGGTAAAATACAACCGGTGGTTGACGAGGAGAGGTGAGAAAGCACTCGGCTACAAGGCAACTGGATGCATGAGGATGCCGGTCAGAAGGTAGAATCCCCAATCCAGATGTGAATGAGTACATTATTCAATGGTACTAAAGTCGGCTTTACCAACAAAAAAAGACTTTGAGACTGGGTAAGAATACGCTTCTTGCGGAGAAAGCAATAAGACTCACGGATTGTGATGCAGTGGACTCCTCCAGAAGGTGTCTGTGCAGTTTAATCAATTCATCCATTTGCACGAAAATGTCATACAATCGATTGAATCATCTTGTCACCAAATCTAGGATGCCAAATTGTAATGAACAATGCCGTATTGCATGGAGAAACGTGTGAAATGCATAAAATCGTTGACAGCGCATGGCATCAAGCAAAAGTGCATTCAGGTTCATTCTCTCATTTAAAGAGTCACAAACCAGTGATGCGATTCTGAGTAGAGTACATTTGGAAAATAGATTTTAGCAATTGATTCAGGAGTACACAGAATGACAACAGTGTTCATCGGGGGAAATAAAAAGTGCAGTCGGTTTTGACTTTTGAAGCATAAAAATGTATTGCCAAAGAGATTTTCTCCTATAATAGAGTGTGCAGCTTGAATATAAATATATATTTCAATAAAAAATAACTCAATTTGAGCAGAATTGATATTGACCATCACTTTTTCGTGCTCTCAATCAGCTGTCTGCGCACATTAAATAGGTCGAATGTTATTAGAAGAATACCATGTATGGACATTTACATAATTACACGGGAACTCTCTAATTCGGTGAAGCATAGACAAATCCAATGATTCACTTACCTCCAATTGCATTTATTTTCTTTAATGCATTTGCGGTTCGCGGTATGTCGGAAGAACTGAACTCCGATTGTCGACCAGAATTAGTGAGCATTTTCCGAATAACTTATCACTTTGAGGAGGAAAACTTCCAGCAAGCGCGGTTGCACAACATTTGCTGGATGCTAGACATTGCATCAAGAAACGCAAAGCTTTCCGCGTTATGCTCTAAATTCGAAGCCCAAAGATGTTTAGGTTTGCCGAAGCGGTTTTCATTAGTTGTTTAAAGCCTGACCTAGGCGTTCATAGGACCTTTGTGATGCAGTTGTTATTACCATGGTAATCTCCCTTGCTTTTCTTTCCCATCGTCTCAGCCGTTCCCTTACCTGATAGTTGACACTTCTCATTCCCTTATTCTACGTATTTCTTTTTGACCTACTTAATTTACCATTTTTCTACTCCGTGAACTTTCTACGTCC